CACAAGAAATGCCACTGGGACCAGCCACCTCCCATCAAAGTGGTTATGATCCCAGGGCAAATCGCTAAGACAAAGTGATCCTCTCTAGCAGGATGTGTGACCCTGCTCTGCAATGCATCATTAGAACTAGCATGACCACAGACAGCAGAAGTCAAAGTAAGCGCCTGTAAATCTGTCCACAACAGATCAAGTAGGTAGATGTGCTTAGCTGAGCTCAAAACTACAGCAGAAAATAAAAACTTCGGGACGAGGGAGAAAGGGAAAACTATGTTGACTTCTGTCCATCAGGACACCCCTTCAGGAGTTTTCTGGAGGCTCCAGGGGCTACTAGAGCCCTTGTTCAAGACTCAGGTATCACAGCAATCCACATACCTTTCTTTGCCAGGCAGAAGGCAGAGAGATGGAGAGACATGGATTTGATGGATGGACTAATCAGTGGATAAGGAATGGGCTGGATGGTCACACTCAGAGAGTTGTGATCAGCAGCTCGATGTTCAAATGGAAACCAGTGACAAGCGACGTTCCTCAGGGGTCAGTACTGGGACTGGTGCTGTTCAACATCTTTGTCGGCGACCTGGACAGTGGGACTGAGTGCACCCTCAGCAAGTTTGTCAGCAACACCAAGCTTTGTGCTGCAGTCGACACACTGGAGGGAAGGGATGTCATCCAGAGGGACTTTGACCAGGTGGAGAGATGGGCCCATGCAAACATGAGTCGCAACAAAGTTCAACAAGGCCAAGTGCAAGGATCAGGGCAATCCCAAGCACAAATACAGGCTGGGCAGAGAATGGACTGAGAGCAAGATGGAGCTTTGAGCAATCTGGGCTAGTGGAAAGTGTCCCTGCCTGTGGCAAGGGGTTGGAACTGGATGAGCTTTGAGGTCCCTTCCAACCCAAACCATTCTATGAAGGGTGCTGCTTTGTTCTGTAATGACAACTGACAGCATGAGCAGATCCTCCAGAAGTGTATGGGTAACTCACAACAGCCTTTTCCCCACTTTTAGGGGTTGCACTCCCTAAAAATCAGCAACACTCCTTAGGGCCATAGTATGCTGCAACACATGCAGCCACCATGAGATGCTCACCCTCCCCTCCAGAGAGCACCCCCCATATTACACACAGATGGGAGGGAGCCAGGGAGATGTAAAGTGGGCAGTTGGCCAGGCAGTAAATGAATTTCAAAGGCAGGCAGGTGATAGATGGGGTTCATGTTGGAAACAGGCAAGGATAAATTGCCCATCTGTGACTGATACAGCAGAGAACAGCACAGGATGGAGCAAAATGAATGGGTGCGGAGGGATCAAGGAAAGAGAGACCGAGCTGTGTGTACATAATTGAATCCCTGAGGCCTGGATCCTGTCTTTTGGGCTACGTGGGATTGCAAATGTATGAGCACAGCTCAGCTGAATGATTCATGGGCTCTGTGTGACAGATAGGACCCCCAGAGCAATCACTTATTGCTGTGGGGGTGGGATTGCCACTGACAGGATGGTGAGGGAGTATGATGAGATGAGAAGCTTCCTACACATCTTTCTGTGCACATTTGAACCCAGCCTTTACAAAAACAGCCTGGAGGAGTCTACCAAAATTAGAGGTGATGCCACAGCTCAGTGCCTGGGACTTGGCCAGGGCTGCAGCTTGCCAACGGGAAGCAACCCCCCCTGCACAACAAACCCAGACTTAAACCAACACCTTATTAACCTGCTTGGTGCTCACTTCTTCCCCCATTGCTAAGGAGACTAAAATGGTAGGAAAACCAGCTCTTTGCCCTCTGTTCTTCTCTGCCTTGCTGCTGTACTAGGTTCAAGTTGGCAGAAATGGCTAATTAACAAGTGCCAACCATTTTTAGGGCATTCCCAGTCTCACCAGAAGCAGGAGCCCTCCAGTGCCTTAGGAAAGAAGCTTTCAGTAGTGGTGTACTGAAAAGCACCTCAGAAACACTTTTGATTGTCCTCTGCTATGTTCCTTCAAGGGTGTTGCTTGCTTTTACCCCAGTAATTACTCAGGTGGAAAGACAAGCTCCTATACTTATAGCAAAAGATTCACATGCATGGCACGAGTACAGGTGGGATGTGCCCAGTCACCATGCCCCAGACTGCCTGAAGCAACACAGACAAGCTGCTGCTTCCTTCAGTGGATGCAAACATCCTCCCCATATGACTAGGGGACTGCAGGATGTGCCTGCCTGTAGCATCCTACTCACTGGCCTCTGCTCTCCAAGAGCCATGGCCAAGAGAAAACTAGAGCAAACGCATAACCAGACTTCTCCTGTGCCACCTTCCTGCCTGCAGCATCCTGCAGGAACCTATTCAAGTGGGAATTTTCATGCTCTGAAACTATTTTTTATTCTTTCACTTTAAAACTTTCAGCATCCATCACAACCTGTGGCAAAGTGGATATTCCACTGCTGAATCCTCCAGTTTAAGGTAGCAAGCAATCCAGTCCCTTAGCCCCAACCTTCCTGGCACCTGGACCTTTCCCTATATCTGCTTTAAGCAGCTGAGGTGATAGATCAGCTTTCTTTTGAGACTGTAAACTAAATTTATACTGAGAACTGATGTCTCTTTGCTTCTTCCCAACTTGCCCTGCCGCCTAAGCCCATGGTGCTCTAGTGCTTGAGCAAAGCTATCAGCAGCCTGACTCCCTCTTGGCAAAGAGACTCCATTTCATTTAATGGTGAAAAATAGCTCTCCACTTGTCCCATCTTCATGAAATAATGCAGGTTTTTATTAGGCTCAGTGGCCTTACTCTCTGAGGTGTTGGGAGAGGCCCAAAGTAGATTTTAATCCACTAATGCAAATGTTTTCCATGAATCAGAGAATGACAGAGAATACTGCTAAGGTTTATAACCCAGATCCGCACCCAATTTTTCCAGAAGGTAGAAGAGGAAGGAACATATTGAAGCCCTTCCTACTGCTCCTGAGGACCCAACAAATAACAAACTATTGTCTCTTCAGCTTTGGCATACCCATCCTGGCAGAGGTGTGCCAGCCAATCCCTTTTTCCCAACAAAAGGTGATACTTTTCAAATAACAGGAACAAATGGCACCATCAAACACATTTTTAATACATGTGTTAAGCTGTTTTGTTGGTATTGACATGTTGCAAAATGGTAGTAGCAAAAGCTCCTGGGCCATCTTTCACTGGAAGTCTTCATCCTTCCAGTGCCTGATACCCACTGATTTCAGGAGGATAGGCAACATAAGTAAATGTGATATGAATCGGCAGATGAAAGCTCTTGAATGTATTTCATGGACATGGACACAGAGTTATAGCAGTGATGGCTGGAAGATAATTCTGGGTCTCCGGCCCAGGGAAAGGACCACAGCCAGCAGTAGATCACCCAAGTTGTAACATTGTCTAGCTGAGTCTTGGAAATTCCCAAAGACAAAGATGTCAGAGTCCACATTTTCTTTCCAAGTCTTGGACACATTTTCTTTTCAAGAAACACCAAGAGTGGGGCAAATTCCATTTTTCGCAAGGGGGCTCAATCACTTAAAATGAACATCAGAGAGGGATGAAGGGATTGAGAGCAGCCCTGAGGAGAAGGGGTACTGGTGAATGAAAAGCTGGACATGAACCAGCAACATGTGCTCACAGCCCAGAAAGCCAACTGTATGCCAACCGCAGCTCTGGAGTCCTCAGCACAGAAAGACATGGACCTGTTGGAGTGGGTCCAGAGGTGGACCACAAAGATGATCAGAGGGCTGGAAGCACCTCTCCTGTGAGGAAAGGCTGAGAGAGTTGGGCTTGTTCAGCCTGAAGAAGACTCCAGGAACATGTTATTGCAGCCTTTAAACACTTAAAGGGGGCTTATAAGAAGGACGGGGACAATCTTTTTAATAGGGCCTCTTAGAATAGGACAAAGAGCAACAGTTTTAAAATAAAAGAGGGTAGATTCAGACTAGATATAAGGAAGGAATTTTTTACGACGAGGGTGGTGAGACACTGGCACAGACTGCCCAGAGAGGTGGTAAATATCCCATCCCTGGAAATATTCAAGATCAGGTTGGATGGGGCTCTGAGCAATCTGGTCTAGCTGAAGATGTCCCTGCCCATTGCAGGGGACTTGGGATGATGGGGATGCAGGGGACTAGATGACCTTTAAAGGTCCCTTCCAACCCAAGCCATTCTATGACTCTATGTAATGGCATTTATCATTCTTTGCCTAAAAGCTTTTCATAGAACCATAGAATCATAAAATGGTGACTGAAGTTCCAACAAATTACAGCTTCCAAGCACAGAGCGTTATTCCACTAAGCACAAGGCAGAAATGGATCTTCTCTGTAGGGATGTAACCTCTAATTATATATTGCCCCCTGCAGCCTATATACTAGGATCATTATTATTTTCCATGTTTGTTAATCAACTACCTGATGTTAACAAGAAGATAACTTCTAGGAGATATGCAAATAATGCTGCAATTTTCTTTTCCAGTGACTCAGCATTCATATCAGAAATGTGTCAACAGGATACAAACGCTATTAAGAAGACCTCTGCGTAATTACCTTCTTCCTCGCCTCCAGTTCTTAATAATTTATGGAAGAAAATGTGCATTTTCTAATAGCTATTCCATCTTGCCAGAAAAAAAGCTCTTTAAGTTATCTTTTCGTCTGTTTCAAATCTCATTTCTTTCATTTTCCCCTCTCTAAAGACCTGTCTCTAAAATTTTATTCAAATCAAATAAGGCAAAGTTAAATGCTCTCAGTGGAAAGAACTCAAACAAATGAAACGAAATGCTTTCAGCACTGAGGAGGTCGAACTGGCACCAAGTTAAGGTACGAGTGTCATGCTGAGAGTTAATAAAGCACCTGCAGATTACTTTTCTATATTTTCTCTGCAGTATCAAGGGGAAGCATCCAGGACAGAACACAGGGCTGAGAATGAGTTCCTGTTACTGTCATAGAGTGACAACTGAAGCAATGCTAAAACAAAGCGGTCCCATAAACCCCGTTTGCCTGGGATCAAGTGCAACAAATTGATAAGCATGTAATTAGCTCATTGGAAAATTCATCAGTGTGGAGAATGTTTTATTAGGGAGGCAGCCATTCTCTCAGGTGACATGGTGACAGTTCACATCCATCTTGTGCTTGTTGTGTTGGGGTTGCTCAGGAGAAAGCTTGTCTGGGCTATCAACAGCTGGGGCATTGAGCTTTTCCTTGGCTTGTTGTGGTTGGGGTTTTTTGCCGTGCAAACACAGCTTTAAGCAAGAGCTTTGCACTTAGCTGTTTAGTAAAATGAACTTAAACAAACAACTTAAGAGATAACTCCTACTCTTGGTTTTGCTTTCCTAACCTTCAGCTGGCACCTTTTCCTTTGAACATCACACCTTCAAGAAGCAAGGAAACCCACCCATCTAATTCTCCAGTATTTAACCTCAGATGCTTCTTCCTGCTTGGAAAACTCCCTGGGAGATAAAGGTCTCCCAAGGATGGCAAACCCATCATGGTCCCCATCAAGGTACCATCAAGGTAACAGAAAAGTGCCCTTAATAGGCAAAGCTAGAGAGGGAGATCAAGCAGAGAGAAATACCTCTCTACGTGCTTCACCAGCCACAAAACATTCTGATTGGGCATCCTGCTTAAAACAGCCAAGCCAGAGGCTTTTGCTTGAAACATCTCTTGTGATGGGTAGCAATTTCAGAGGTGTGCTCTGAATGGGAATCTAGCACTGCAATCCATTTGCAGAGGTTACCTGCAGGAATAAGCACATATTCAGCAGATAATACAATAACCTCCCTATGATGCCGTGCAGGCAGGGCACACTCAGAAACACACAGAAGTACATGCCAGGTTGGATGGGACTTTGACCAACCTGGTCTAGTGGAAGTTGTCCCTGCCCATGGCAGGGGAGTTGAAACTGGATGATCTGTGAGGTCCCTTCCAACTCAAACTGTTCTGTGATTCTGTGACGATTTGGAGGCTGACACAGAGGTGAGAAGGATGTGCGATGCCTGCGCATATACCTATACAGGACGTATCAAAACACTTGATGGGTCCAAACCCCAGCCCACATATACAAGTATAAGCTATTTTACAAGAAACCCATACCCTAGATTTTAGGAAACTGCATGAAAACAATTCCAAAACCAGTCTCTGTACAAAGCTAACCATTCTTATTAGGGACTAACAGATGAGATGCTCTTGGAAGAGCAGTGCAACCGAGACACCCAGCCATGCCAGCAGGACAGCATGCTGAGCCCTTCCAGCCCCCACTGGCCGGGATTCCCATGACTCTGGATGAAGGCCGGTTGGCATTGTTACTGGGGCTGTATCAACTTTCTCTTCTTCTTGACAGAAGACTCTCAAAGCTCAGCACAAGCCATCCCATGCCACTTTACAAGACAGGGCTTATGACCTTAACAGCTACATGGCACTGCACAAGTATATCCAACTTCCCCATGTTGCCCGTGACACCCTGCAATCAGCACTCAGTTCTAATGAGGTGAAGTCAACCAAGGAAGCCTAGGGAAGGCTGGAATCCCAAACTTTTCACGCAGTGAGCGTGGTCCCAGCAAGGTTTCTGTGCTGCTCTCTCTGTTCATCGCAGCAGCAGAGCTTGATTAGTTGCTGACTACTGGTTATTTTGGGGGTCCCCCATGGAAATGACAGGGACAAGTGACCCCATGGGGACCCACTAGCAGGGCAGGCACAGACCTCTTGCGGAGGACAGCATTCGAGCACCTTAACCCCGCATCCCCAAACCAAAACAGAGGGTCCTTATCCCTTCTCCTCCCCCCTGGTGGCGCCTGCGCCCCCCACAAGCCCACCGGTGGGACCACGGCCCACCCCAGCCCCACAGTACCCGCTCTCCACCCTCAGCCCCTCGTGGCCCCTCAGCCCCAGGGCCTGATGCTCCCGCGCTGCCCCCCGCGCTCCGCCGCGGCCGTTGCTCCCGACGGCGCCGCCCAGTGCCGTTAGTCCGTCCGCGGCCATGGAGGTGCCGGTGCCGCTCCTGGTGCTGCTGCCCACCCTCCTCGCCGGTACAGGGCGCCCGGCGCCGGGGAGGGGCTGGCGGGGGGGAGCCGGTGCTGGGGAAGCGGGCTTGTTCTGTGCCCCGTCCAAGGGAAGGGGAAACCTGGCCCGGTACCGGGCACCAACCGGTTTGGGGGCGCAGCAACGGTGCCTAAGCGGGTACCAGCCATCGGGGCAGGGTGGAGAACCGGCGCAGGACGGTGCTGGGCACAGGCCGGTCGGGACGGGACCGGTGGCGGACACCGGCTGGCCCCGGGGGAGGTCGGGGGTGACGCGGGCTGGAGCAGAAGCCGTTAACGCCGTTCTCCCTCTCCGCAGGGCTCCTGTCGTGTCCCGGCGCCGTCGCCAGCGTCCCGGTGAGTGCCGTCCCCAGGAAGGGCGATCCCACCCGCCTCCCCCTGGGCCGCCAGGGCAGGGCGGCCCTTACCCAGAGCCCCGGGCTAGGACCGGGGAGCCGGCACCCGCCTGCCCTGGAGAGCCCCATCTCCTTCCTATCAGCCCCACCTGCGGTGCGCTCGGGACGGTTCCTCGCCGCCCGTGTGTCCCGCTGCCTCCCGTGAAGTGCCGGTGTTTTTCAGAAGTGGATGGGTGACCTGTTTCAAATGGTGTGTCTTAATCTCCTTACATACCTGTCTTCCCTAGCCTGACTGCAAAAAGTACGGCGTGATTGGATGCCCAAGGCACTACAATCCTGTTTGTGGGACCGATGGAGAAACCTACTCAAATGAGTGTGTGCTCTGCCTTTCAAACAGGTAGCCACCTAATTGACACCCTAACCTAGCCTAACGTAACCTTCCCTTCCCTCTATGTGAGCCGCATGCTCACATTATCCACCTGACAGCCAGTTAACTGGTAGATTACCGACATTAGCTGTGTCCCCTCAACTGCTGATCCCTCGCAAGAGCTTTTATCCTGATACTTGCAAATGGCTTATATTGGATTCAGTTAGCTGGGAGTACTCAACATTCAATTCTGTAGTTCCTAAGGAGAAGCATTTCAGAGGGTGTTTGTCTGTAGTGCTCATACAGTGCCACTGCATGAACCATTAAATGTAAGGCCGGACTATCCACACCCTCCACCGAAACCCATGAAAGATCCCACCCAAAAGACAGCTTTTACTACAAAAATGTTTTATGTTCCAATCTCCTGTACTTCCTTTCACATGTCAAATGTTAGGAGAAAATACTACTTTGCCACTCAAATTGTCTAAATATGAAGAAAATCTCACCTGTTATTTGATAGAGGGTATTTTATTCTTTAATAATTCAATAATTCTTTTAAAAAATAAAAAAAATGCAGCTTTGAAAGAGTGTTCATAGTTATAAGCAATGGTCATTTCACTTCAGGGATTCTAAGGTACATTCCATCACACTCCTTAGGAGGGGAGAGCAAAGAGATCTTGCTGCCCTTCTAAACAAGCTGCATAACCAGTAATTGCTGAGATAAATAGTGTCATGTGGTGATGCAGGAACAGATGTAGGGGCAGATAGTGAATAACAACACAGTCATTTCTAGATAAACTTGAGTGATTCTCAACAGTCAACTTGCAGGTCACTTCCAGCCATGTTTAAACCAATTAAAGGACTTTTTAGAAGGCATTGTGGCCATCATTCAATGATGACCAAGAGAGGACTGTTCATGGGCTCTGTTAGCCTTGCAAAACCATATGGGCACGTGGAGAGTCCCACACACATCCAGAGTACTGCAGGAGAGGTCACTGTGGCTGATCTGTGATGAGACACCTGAAGCAAAGGTGCAGCACAAACCTTGCCCATCCTGGTTCTCTGTGCAGCCTGTATAGACCAAAGCTGGTCTTCCTCTCTGCCTTTTGGGTTTGTTTTTTTTTGAAGCTTAGATATAATCCATCCTGAAGTGGGTACTCAATTGCAAATCCCAGGTCTCTTCCATACTCAGTGTTCACTAGCAGTGAGAACAACTGACCTTAATTTAAGCCTAGCCTGGCAGCACCACAAGCTCTTTGGAAACAGACACAGCAGCTTGAGCTCTGAACCTCTGCAGGGTTTAGTGCAAGGGCTGTCCTTCAGACAAGACTTTTCCTGACATTTTTACGTGTGTTTTACATCCACTGGGCTTGGTTTTTCCTTTCATATTCCTAATTCACTGCTTTCTGGTAAAAATATTCCTGATACAACTATTAGTACAGCTTCTGGGTAACCATAAGCCTCTTGAATTTCATGAGGAATAAAACAACTTGATTCTATTAAGATAGGGAAGTGAACCGGAGATCTAGGGCAGTTTGCATTCCATCACTTTCTTTTTGTTTCTGCACTTGCCTGGTAAACTGAGATTTGCAAATGGAGCACCCCAAAGTATCTTGTACAGAACTTCAAAAATAAACAAAATCTAACTAAAACTAAAGAAAGCTTGGCTAAAATTTCCTTAAAGACTCCAGCATTCAGAGAAACACACATTCAAACTTTAGTGAAGCCTGGGATTCCAGGGGGAAAATTTGCAAGCATTAGAACTGATTCCTACTTCAGGGACTGGGAATTTTGACTTGCTTTAGTGCTTTGTAACAGACACCTTACTCCTTATGGTGAGATTTGTCCTGTGGTTTGAACCTTCTGATTTGCAGATGGCTTTATCAGGTTTTTACAGGTAGCAAAGTCTGAAGTGAGTCTGTTTCTGGTAAGTTACTCACTCTGTGTGTGTGACACATAGAACATTGCAATTTGGTTACTTTGTGGTGATGTTTGCCATACGTGATGCAATTAAATGCATCATTGCATTTAATTGAACACATAGAAAAACATAAGAGGTTTGCTCTATAAAATGTCTGTGTACATTCAAGTGTAGTCCTTCTCTTCTAAAATGTTTTTCTTCTACTTGCAGAGAAAATAAAAAGGATGTCCAAATTTCCAAGAAAGGAAAATGCTGATCTGGCAGGTGGTCACTCTTCAAGAAAATGAAGACACAGTCCTCAGTGCTTTGAGGAAACAATGCTTTAAATGTACCTTCCATGTAGCCTGTCTTAATAAATAATCTTACCTGTTAAAAGCACTGTTACTGTATTAAAACCAATTTTGATAAACATAGCCATAGTACACTAGTAACCTGAAGCCCAATTTATTTTCCCATGCAAGGCAGACCATAGGGTAAGAAAGAGATGTGCTGGCTGTATACCAGCAGCTCAGTTGTTTGGAGAGGGAAACGGACGGATACCCAGTGCCATTCCCACAGCACCATCTGGGAGCAAGGAGGTCCCAGCACCTCTGTCACAGGCAGTGCTGGCAGCAATCACTGCTCTTTGCTTCTGGGAGGGTCTGAGCCCTCAGGTGCCAGCAACCCCAGGGAAGCCACTGGAGGGGTTTCATGTGGTGGCTAGCAAACTGGTGACAGCAGCCTCTGCCCAGGGCTCCCTACTGGCAGAGGGCAGTGATCAGGGCACCTTCTGCCACAAGTAAGGGCTGATTCAGAGCGCAAGGGGCATTGGCAGGGGACACAGGCTGCCATGGGGCCCACAACCCTCTGAGCTCTGCTCCCTGGGGCACTGGTGTCACCACCCTGGGCTGGCATCCAAGAGCTACTTCCCATGGCAAACATTAAAGCAAAACCTGAAAAGTCAAGACTCATGTAAAAGTGTGTACCCCAGAGCAGGTCTGGTGTGCCCTCCTCCAGGGCGGGTGTGCAAGCACTGGGGTTTGGTTCTTTCCTAGCACTTGTGCACATGGGCACGTAGCCTTTCTCATGTTTGTTCCCTTCTGTTCTGCTAGACATGTGTTTTCTGCATGTTGCTTGAAATGAATTTTATTTGGGTTGTCTTAACCGTGTGTTAGTAACACACAGATGGCTTCTACCTTTGATTGAAGCCAAATGGCACCTGCTGTAGCCCTGACCACAGACAAATGGCTTTGTCAGGCTTTGCTGGGCAGCAGCAGCTCAGGCAGAGATGTACAACACACTTCATAGCTGATGAACATTCACAGGTCAGTGACTTTGGGTTTGAAAAAAAACAGTGCTTTAGTTTTCTAGTTTCTCTAAGGAGCTGAAGCTACCCTTATGTTCCAGCACATGGCTGCTTTCATTTCCTTCATGCAAAGACTAATCATTGATAGAGATGTCCTGTGTGGCACAACTGGAGGGCTGGAAGCTTAGGGTAAAGCAGTCACGTGAAGACATGAAGATGAGGATGGAAAAGAAAGATGACCAGTGCCTCCTAACAAGGTATCAGTTGTGGATAGAAAATCAATTTCTCTATTGGTGGCAAATCCATTTGAGAAAGTTGCTGTGTGCTCCCAGCTATTGTTTACACATCCAGATGTGGAAATCTTCGCCTTTTCAAATCGCAACAGATGCCACAGCAGTTGTGTACTATGCTATGAGTTAACAACTGGATGGAAATAATAAGTTGTTTCTTTTATTTCTATGTTGATGACTAATTGTGCTTACAAGGAAACTTTAACAACTCCAGTTGTAGAAATATTTTCAGTATTTGACAAACGTGTGCATTGCCTTGCTTTTTACTTTCTTTCGAAACTCAGGAAAAAATATCTGGTTTTGTAAACACCACTTAATGAAACAAATGCAAATAAAAAATAGTATGTAGGACAATTATAATCACACTGTTCCTAGCATATGAATGCTTAAGATATACCTTAGAGCTGGCTTTAAAATCTTTCTGGTTTTATGCACATTAGAAAAGTGGTGAATTCAGTACCATGTGTAATTACTCACCAAATCTGCCCCAGCATTTTTAGTTCATTTTCTATACATTAAAAAATTCAGGCAATTCCCACAGATAAATATTGACAGCAAGATTTGTGAAGAAATGCAGGTGTATGTCACAGACCCTACTTCTTTCTAGTCTTACCACAAACAAGATACCTCTCATTCAGCAGAGTCACTGGATTCTGGAGGGGTGCTGATTGGAGGGAAAGGTGATCAGGCAGGCTCAGAGCCTGCCGAAGCACCCAAGCTATAGCCATAGCAAGCAATGCTGCTATGGCCGCATTGCACTGGGTCTAACAACCCTCCAAGTAACGGTACCCAGGGCTCCTTGGGGCCGGTGGCATTAACTTTTTCACTAAGCCAAGGTAGAAGTATTTCTTTTCTCTTGAGGTTATTTCTCTTTTAAACCTTTTACATTGCTCTTCTTACAATAATAAATAAAATCACCAAAAGCAGGACTTGCCCAGAATCTCCTTGGTTTTGTAAGCCTCTTTCAACCTGACTTCTGGTTTCATGTACGTTACTGTTACTCGCCTTCCATGCAAACTGTTTTTTGGGTGGAACAATGCTGAAATTTGTTGCAACTGCTGTGGCTATGTTGCCCAACTTCCCTTTTGCTCTCTCTTGTCATATTTTAAACAGTTCTTTATAATAAGTACTTCCTCAATTGATTAAATTCCCGACTCTCCCACACGTGGAAATATAAAAGAAATCTGTCCAGAAAATGTACCTAAACAAGATGTTCCCTGGGCTGCACGCACCGCTGCTCAGCAGAGACTGCAGGGGGGAGCTGGGGCAGCTGGGCTCCAGCTCCCAGCTTAGCTGTGGGTACTTTGGGAGTGCTCAGCCTCTTTGCTTCAGGCACTCTTTTGAGGGTTTGCAGAGG